AGGTTTAAAAGTAACAAAAAAACCATGCTATATTTAGCTTTCAATTAATTAAGGTTTTAGTTGAGATAAAAAAGTCAGTGTCACGAGCGGGATTCGAACCCACGACGTTCGTCTAGATACTGCTGTACCACTTGAGCTATCGTGACTTCGATCCACTCGAACACTAACTTCCCATCTCAACCCCACCTTTTGAATTTTCCCTCCTTTATATAGGCTATATTTAGCCTCAAGAGCAAACCCATCATACAATATTCATCAACAACATCCCTAAAACCGACTGCCAACGCATTTGATTCAATTTTGACACATGTTCAACCTTGAAGAGACATCCTGACGTCTCTATAAACTACTTGGGTGGAAATCTAACATCTAAAAACGAACTGACAGTCCACAGCCATTACTGAAACCGATTTGGACTAGAACTATGATGCCTCTAAACCTTCGAATTCATTACTTCCAATCAAAATCCTCATAATCCTTCCTACTATGTCTCCAAACCTTAACCTCAAAATTTCCTTTGTAAATAAATTAATTACACAAAATTTTCCAAGTTCCACGATGAACTGTCAACTTACCCCGATCCACTAACCCAATCCATGTCCAACATAATCCAACCCTACAATCAAGTCAGTCGATTAAAGCGGGAGAGCCGTGGGACCCCCCTCGCCAAGGACTTGTGACGTTTGTGAAAAGGTCAGAGCACAAATTTTCCTCATTAGTGTATTGTAAATATGTATGATATTCCTTAAAATAACGAAATGTATTATTTTATGCGTGATAAATATTTTATTAGAAAAGAAATTTCTCCATCTTCCCAGAAACTTTACGAATCGTTCTACTGGTGGACACGCTATACAATTTTTTTGTTATAGTTGTATAAATGAAATAAATTTGTTGAAGTCGTTAGGAGCGGTCAGGAATGCAGTATTTTCGAAAAATGCATTTTTAATTATTTTAGCGAGTTTCAACCTTTATTAGGGCCATCTTCAGGGCCTGGGTGAATTCCAAAGCATAATTATGTGGTAAAAAATACAATTTGTTTTGTGTGAAATTGTGAAACGTATAGTGTGTGGCTAATTCTGTGCCATTTTGAAAAATAACACAATTTTGATCTCGAGAAAATACAAATACTAAACACTGAAAAAAATACAAACGCCACTTTCTACAAATGGTTTACATTAACAGCGATACAAATTGTTTCACAACAATTTCACACGAAACAAATATGACACCAAAAGAATAGCACCGCACTTTATGGGAGTATGAAATACATGTTTCAAAATTTTTATTTACATATGCATTAGTTTGTTCAATCAACGTATGTTTTGAAGTCATCCAGGCGCTGAAGATGACCCGAATAAAGGTCGAAACGTCGGTAAAAAAACGAAAAGGTTGTTTTTTTCTCAAATATTGGGTTGGTAAAAATTAATGCAAATTTTGAAAATTTATTATAAATTATTTTGTCAGGTGCTTGTCATGTAAACAAAGCTAAATCCTCAATTCTAATTTACGGATTATAATAAATACTTTTAACTGTTATCTTTTATACAAAACATTTTAGTGAAATAAATATGTTCAAACTAGATTTTCGTCAAATTTATTTGTAAGAATTTAAACTTGGGCGAAGTGCGGACCAGACCGCGGGTAACATCAATACAGTTTTGGGGGGAGGGAAGCATTAGCGAATGCACACGGTGCAGCGATGGTTTCAGAGATTTTTTCTTGGAGATTTCGGTGTCGAAGACATGGAATGTTGCCGTAGGGTTTCCTTTGTGGACGACGAGCAACTCAAAACGTTGATTGAGGAAATGTCACGTGCTGAAGAGCAATACCGTGATTTCCATCGCTCTGGAGCAAAGTGATTATGTAATGAAGCTGGACAAGTGGGTACCGCAAGAACTAACCGACGACCAAAGAAATAGACGGTTTAAAATTTGCATGCCTCATCATGAGAAAAATGAATCCTGTACGCTAACTGGAGGCGTACAGGTCAGTGGTTGGACAAGGAAGGAGCGCCAAAACACTTTCCGTAACCAAATCTGCACCAATAAATTTTGCGGCTGTGCTGCTGGGTTGTTCACTATAATTTCCTCTTACTACAGAGAAATATTTCCAACAAATTGACAAAATACACGGGAAAGTGCAACGTCATTGTCCAGCATTGGTAAGCCGTAAGGGGCCGATTCTTCTTCACGATAACGCCAGGCCACATGTACTGCGGAAATGCCAAACCTGCGGAAACTTAAGGACTTAGGATATGAAACGTTACCGCACCCTCCATATTCACACGAACTCTCGCCTACAGGCTTCCACTTTTTTAGGCATTTTGATCAATTTTTGAGGGATACAAATTTTAGAGAACAAGGTGAAGCAGAAAACGAATTCCAAGTGCCTCTCAACACGACACGCAAGAATGGCACAATTACACAGAAGACAAACACTTTGAGCCCTGAAGATGTTCTCAATAAAGATCGAAACGTTGGCACGATAAAGAAAATGTTTTTCTGAAACCTACATCACACCAGACCGCATCTCACTATTTCTGAATAATTATCGATTAACGGTCAATCACCACACATTTCTACACGTTATTTTTAAAGTTTTGTAAGCTATTACAGAACAGATCTACCTCTACTGAATTCATGAGCTTCCATGCTCTGATGATAGGTGCTAAAAATAAATAGTATTACATAAAGGGATAGAAAATATATTTTTATGTTTAGTTTATTTCAAAGGAACATTTAAATAAACTCGTTGCAAAAGCTCAGGGTTTTTTATAATAAAATTTAACAATTAATATAAAAATATAACAACATAAATATCTTTTTTTTAAGGGGTATAATTTCCATCACAGCTCTTAATTCATCATAATTTATATAATCTAAGTTTAAGAGTAATTAATAGGCTAAGAATCTTAAAAACATATATAACAACATATATAAAAAACATATATAACAACATATATATAACAACATATATAAAAACAAAATATAACAACATAAATATCTTTTTTTTAAGGGGAATAATTTCCATCACAGCTCTTAATTCATCATAATCTATATAGTCTAAGTTTAAGAGTAATTAATAGGCTAAGAATCTTAAAAACATTTTTTGATCATTTTCAAGTTTATTGCTGTAATTGTGATAACTTCGAGACCAAACTGGACAATTGAACTCAAGACTAGAACGAATAATTGAAAAGTATAGTTTTTATAACATTTATATTGTTGAAATCCTTGGAGTTTTTTTCTAAAGAATCCAAGCAATTTTACGGCTTTATTTACAATTGCACCTATATGATCAGTAAAAGATAGAGTTGTGTCAAAGATGACTCCTAAATCTTTTATTGATTTTTGCTCATTTAAATTTATATCACAAATATTATAAGTAAATATAATTGGATTAAGATTTCTATAAAAACGTATAATTTGGCATTTGTTAATGTTCAGGTACAAGTTATTTTTATATCACACCAATTAATTAGGTTGTTCTTCTAATGACTTAATTACTCTATAGATCTTTAAATCATCTGTGAACAGTAAATTTGCACATTGAAAAACACTTGACATGTCGTTGATGAAAATGACGAAGAGAACAGTGAAACATGGCCACCCTGAGGTACCCCAGAGGTTACTCTAATGCCCCTCGACAGAATACCATTCAAAGATACCACCAGTATTCTGCCAGATAAATAGTCAATCAACCAATGTAAGAAATTGCCACCTACACCCAGCACTTCTAGTTTATGGAAAAGTATACCATGGTATACCTTATCAAAGGCCTTCGCGAAATCAGTACAGATTGCATCTACCTGGTTTTTATTTTGAAAAGCATCCAGTATATTCTGTTGATACGATAAGAGATTTGTTAGAGTTGATTTATTCTTGACAAAACCGTGTTGTTCCTTATCAATCTTTAAAAGATGGATTTATTTTTGTATAAATTTTATCTAACAACTTAGGGATAATTGATAATTTGTTTATAGGTCTATAATTAATTGTGTCGTTCCTATTGCCATTTTTAAATAAAAATAAATATTAAAATCGCACAAATGATTTAAATTTAAAATGATGTTCTTTCATACACCATGAAAAGTGGCACCTTCCAGACAAATTGTTTCGCAAACATCACAATCGTAAAATAATTAAAATAAATTATTTTTTTAATCTAAGGTCTTCATTGAGATGAAAAAGTTAGTGTCATGAGCGGAACTATTTTATCTCAATCAAGACCTTAGATAAAAAGAATAATTTATTGAAATAATTAATATGACTGCTAAACATATATGGATTAATTAAAAAAATAAAAATAAATAAAATTGTTTAAGTCCAATCAGAGTTTAAAAAACCCGTTTGAATGGTCAATTAGTGATAAGAATTCGTCATTTGGGAGTGGTTTTGAAGTTAACGATTAATAATAATAACAATAAAAGTCTTTAAAAGTTAAAGTTACGATTATGTTAGTATTAAAACATTATTATCATTGATATCGTTTATATCTTCCTTCTTTACTCATTTCTCTCCCTCTTTCTTTTCTCACTCGCACGCACATTTATAATTTTTGTAAAGGTGTAAGTGGCAGGAGGCAGTTGTCCTGTTAAAAATTAAGGGGAGAGTAGAAGGGTGTAAAGTCAATTTAGCCAGTCCATCGCTTAATAAAGCCTTTTGAGAATCATAACGGATATAATATTAATTTTGTAATGTAGACGGAATGGGTAGCGAGTGGAGGGAGGGCAGTCCTTTTGTAGGGAGCAGGTAAACACTTACGACAAAAGAATATGTGTAAAGGGATAATGTTGTGGAAGTAACGCGGAGTCTGGAGGGAGGCAGTAATAAAATTACACACGCCATTAAGTGCTCGCGAGCTCGGCATTAAATCCTGGATTGGTCGGAGTTTCTCCAATCCAGAGGAAGGTAGGCGGAGCTGTTACGTTAGCCCCTCTCTGGAGAAAGGGAACTAGCTGGAAAGGGGAGCGGCTCCGGCTGGAGAGGGAACTGGACGAACCATTCCGCATTTCAGTCGGTTCATGACAACGGAGTGATATGGACCAAGAGTGATTCGAAGACGGACGATGATGCCTCTCGCACCGACGCCTGTCATGGCGGTGCCGTCCAAACCCAAAATCGGATTTTCAATCGACTCGATCGTCGGAGGATCGCCCGAGAGGAGCGACGAGAGCGAAGACAGCCCGCAGTGTTCGCCGAAAAACGTGTCGGGCTCAAGCAGCCCCCTGGACCCGGGCCGGTCGCCGCCGCCGCTCATCAGGCCCAGTGCCGTTCCCCCGTTTCCAAAAGGACTCTATTTGCACGAGCCGGTCGTACCCAACCATCAGTTGGCACTCGCGGCAGCGGCTGCACAACAGTTCCACGCCGCGGGGATCGCAGCGGCGCTGGGCGGACCGCCGGGACCTGGTATGCCGCCGCACCACCACCAGCCTCCGAGAGACACCTACCCGCTCTACCCGTGGCTTCTCTCCAGACACGGAAGGATATTTCCTCACCGGTTTCCTGGAGGTAAGCCCTAACTAATAACACCTAATATTACTCATTCTTTCTAACTTTGAAAACATTAAACTTATATAAGATCGCGTTACCCCACGACGTAGATCTTTGTTAGTATGTCTTTTAAAAAAACAACACTAAACCATTGACCACCTTTTATTACATTTTACTAATTACTACAACCATTTTCACACTTGTAGTCGCAATCTGGAGGGCTTAAATTATCAAAATCTTGAAGTTATCAACAAATCAATAAAATTATATGAAATATGGTTAAATCTGACATATGTTTGTCTGGAATAGCCAAGGTCATTTCTTTCTTATCGTTTCTTTATTTGAAAATTGGTTGTTGTTTAACACCGTGTATAGTTTCTATAGTCATTTTTATCTGCGTTTATATCTTTTTGTTTAAGAAGGAATGTTCTTAAAAAATTCCGGTTTTACGCCTCAGGATGTTGTTGCCCAAGGCGTTGTATCTAGGAATCTCAACCTTAAAAACGTTATTTTTTAAATTTTTGTTATCTTTAACTTACAAACACGCTTAGATCTGAACTTTCCTGTAAAAACGCATCGGGCCGTCTTAAAAATAAAGATATACACGTAATCTCCTAACAGTGACAGGCTATCGGCCGGCATAGCTCAATTCTGACAAATTCTCACTGGGTCCGCCGACCGGTTTTTGAGACCTGCCCTGGATGAAAACTGGACCGAGTGCGAACTGGAATAATAAAACTTTTTCCCACTTAAAAATAATATAAATAAATAAATAAAATAATAATAAAAGAAAGTCTTTCCACGGTTTAAAACATTATAGTCGAAAAAATAAAATTGTTAAATATAAATTAGTAAATTAGACCGCTCAACATGGGTAAAATATAATCTTTCATAATATTATAATTTAACAATATAATACTTCCTGATGACAAATTTTGTAAACAGTAAACCCTGGGATCGTTGCGTGTGAAACAAAAACAAAAAAAAAGAAAGAAAGTAATTTAGCCACTCAGTTAATTAAATATTCCAGTTAAAGAAGTTTTTTTTATTATCTAAGTTTATTGTTATCTCGATATCTCATTCCTTGTTGTGATAAAACAAAAATAAAGCTTGTTTTTCAATGTCGAGGCGCAAGATGGCGACTATAGGATTCAAAATGTCTCCTTGTACTTTCTCTTATCATCCTTGATAAATGATACAAATTTTATTGAGACGGGGAAAATAAAAAAGAATAACTCCGGTAGATCAAAATTGAATATTTATATTTGTAAGGTTGGGGGAAAATATTCTACAAAACAAACCAACAGTTTCAATTTTTTATATATACTCTTTCGAGTATTTTTTTTTCTAATTAAAATAAAAAACTAAAATGACTTGATTTTTTTCATTGCTGTAATTAAAAATGTGATTTTTGTCGATTTTCAAAACCGTAGAAATTATTTTGTTTTCAAGTATACACAACCGAAAGTAGGGGTATATTTAACAAAAATTCGAAAAAAAATGTAAAGAAGTTTTTTAAGAACACCTCAGATTTGGTTTTGGATGAAGTATATTGTTGTTTATTTTGAAAAGTAATACACGTTTATTATTGAACTACAGCTTTATAACCATGAAATTCAGTAAACCTGCAAAACCGGTTATTTTCACGTAAAAACCTTCAACTTTTGCCCATAGATCTAGCCATTATATTGTGCCCACATTGCAATATATTTAAAACAAACATGGTACTAGGTGATTTTTTTCAATTGTATGTTGAACTAAATGGAAACGTGAAGTATACCAGTATATGTTGATTGGTTTTTGAAAGTTTACGGTCTTCTTTTAGCCTTCAAAATCTTTTAAAAAAACCACCCCTGCTCATTTCATAAAATTTGACGATCCCATGACGGGAGAAATCATCGAAAACATCTAACGATTATAAACTTCATGCTCTGTTCACAATGGAAAAAACAAGTCGTGACGTTTGGGCGGGCGAGCTGGAAGTTAATTAACACTGAACGATTTGGTCCTTTTCGATCTGGGTCTGCATGTTTTCGCTTTTTGAAAACTCGATAATCTCAATAAATAAACTCTATTTTTGGATTTGTGTTTTAAAAAAAGTATTTTTTATAATGGTAACAGTTCATCACAATATACTACTTACTAGTAATTTTTTAAAATCTCGTCCCCCCCCCAAATTTCCTGTAAATCGCTCGTCTTATGTGAAAATGCTGTCCAAGATCTTTAACATATCCTACCTGCACAAATTGGTGGGCCGACGAGGCGGAAATAAAAGCTTAAATACGATAATCTTCAGTAATTGCACCCTAGTCTCGAATCCACTGGCCAATTTGGTCTGATCCAGAGCAACTAAGTCAAAGTCAAAGTAAAAAAAAAAATTCTTACCACAAAACAGATTTCTTACAAAGAATATTTTTAATTTAAAGATATGCTAGCAATGGTCCCTATCTGAAGTGGTTGATCTCCGGCAATTATTATGCTAACACAACACATAAAATGTTAAGGAATGCGAGAATTAAGAAGAAATAAAAATGTAAACGAGTTGAATCTGGCCTTATGAGACATAAACTTGTACAACGTGATACGAAATAATATTTTCAAAATAACAACAATTCCGGGAAAACCTTTATTTCTTAAATGAAAATCTTTCTCATTTTATTTTCTTGTTGAATTTTATTTCCTGATTGTTTATGGCTGCTAACTTTCAGAAATATTGTCCGGTTGAATAAGACGAATCATGAAATTTGATGGTAAAACACAGCACGTGGAATTTAATAGTTATTCAAAATATTTTTGATTGACGTTTTTAACGTTGGTTTATTTGCACTGGTTGCTGATTAAATTTAAAAAATCCGAGATGCAAGGAATCTATGTTTTAATCTTCTAATCGTCTAGGGAAATTGAGGTAGTGCGTAATTTTTGTTAACACAAAATATATTATCATCGATAATAATTATTCTGCTTTAATTAAATACAATCCTTAATCATCCCATCAGTGGTGATTTAGGCTTAGTTTTCAAATTTCTAGATTTAGTATGCTAGTTTGATTATTTGACAATAGTTGACCGAACACAGAAAAAAACTCAGATTCAGTCCTGAGGTTGTAAACTTGTGAAAAACTGACAAGCCCACTATTTTCTTGTGTAAGCCGTGAAAATCAAAGTCTGAAATATTTCCAGCAAATTAAACTTAAAAAAGTCAAGGATTTGAGGAATGTTTTCGGATCCACTTACTTTCTATATTAATGCTAGCATCAAGGGAATAGACGTAAAATGTGGCTTATTTGTTACTTGACTCACTTGAACATTAACCTAAAAAACTTACAAATACATGGATATAAATAAATATTTTATTTATTACTAATGATAAAAATTAATCCAATAAAACATGAAATCACCCACTTAGTGAAAAATTAGGCTGTGAGATCTGATAGTTTGATTATCACCTGGTTTATTTTGACCAGTCGTCGACCGAACACAGAAAAAATCGAGAATCAATCATCAGGTTGATCAGCGGGTTATAAAACTGGCGGTTAATTTTTTGTAAATGTGTACTAATCAAAGTATGAAATATATTTTCTTAATTGACTGGGATTTTGGGAACTTTTGAATTACATTTTTTCCTATAATTATCTTAGTGTCCAGGGAAATCGACATACGGTGTGTTATTTGTTACTTGACCGCTTTGAACATTGACTTAAAAAACTTAAAATTACATGAATGTATACACAATTTTATTTATTACCATTGATCACAATTGATCGTTTTTTAATAAAGCATGGAATCATCTAGTCAGTGGTGATTTTGGCTTAGAGATCTGATAGTTTCCCATCAAATTTGTAGATTTACTCAGCTAATTGGTTCACCTGGATTATTCTGATCGCTGATCAATCTTACATGGGTTTTCAATATGTCATGTTATTTTACAAAAGTTAGACCAATAAATGGATTTTTGTTGTTGTGTGAATAAGATCCAATGTGAAATTAAATAAAAAACACGTCATGCTTTTTACCACAGTTCACCATTTTTGCTTGATCAACCTAAGCAAGTCCCTGTCCAAAAATACGTTGAAAATAGGCGGACCCACAACATTAGCAAAATTTTCTAGGAGATCCGGATTTCTCCTTCAGATCCAAATAGAAATATTTCTAGTATATCGAAATAAAAAAGTGTTATATAAAATTTGCTGTACTTTTGTGGATCCACCTCCATTGTAATTTTTGTAAATATAAATCTTAACATCCAGATAAATTGACATAAAATGTTTTCTTATTTGTTACTTAACCACCTTGATCATAGATTGACCAAAACATGTATATATTTTTATGAAGTAACTAGGCTTCTAAGTGAAAACGGCGACAATAAGCTGACCAGTTTCTGAGTGAACAATTAGAAAGTACCAAGTACGAACTTGTAAAACGGTTTCATTGTAGAACTTTCAAATTACAACGCTGACAGATAGATAAATAACGCTTAATTTATTATTGTCCGATCGACTGTGCCCCGTTGATCGGCTATTTATCAGCTGACGATATGCTTGGGCTTAAAACGGTCTTAATTGTTTGTAAGATTATAATTTGAATTTTTGTAGTCTGTCTTTTATTTGTAGTCAGTAATGATTATATTATTATAGTAAGTTTTATTGTATTAATTTATGTGTTGTTTATACGTAATCTCTATAAGTTGTGAATAGTGATAATAGCTTTTAAACAATTAATTTAAAAAATGACTAATAAAAAATTTAAATATGGTTAGTGAATTTTATTTACTAAATTCACTAGTTTTCGTGGTCCGATTGATCAATTAATGTCTTTCAATTAATTAAGGTTTTTAGTTGAGATAAAAAAGTTTATTTACTAAGATGTGTATTGTTTCTAGGTGATTGATCAAATTAAAGTTTTATCATCATTATTGCAATTCAACTGATATTATAATTTTCAATAATTATTCTTTTTATGTAAGGTCTTGGTTGAGATGAAAAAGTTAGTGTCTCGAGCGGGATTCGAACCAATGACCTT